TGACTAGCTCACCATCTAAACCATTAATTTTGTGATTCTAATCAATAGGTGTATTAAACGATTTAACTCCCAAGTTTTCCTACCTCCTGTAGTAGGTCCAACACATACTTCCTCTAGGAAATGAAGATCTAGAAGTGTAAAACAGGTTGTGCCGCCCTCCCCTGGGATAACTTGGGGGTTCGGCCCAGCACGGCCCACGGCCCAAGCCTATGCAAGCCCATGTCGTGACGCAAGCCAAGCCAAAGTTATTTATCTAAAAAAAATTGAAAAAAACTTAAAATTTTAATTTTATATGAATTTTGATGTATACAATTGCTTATATATACAATAATTTAATAAATTAGCATAACAAAATTAAAAATAATTGTTTATTTTATTAATATATTATATACTATATATTGTTATTATATATTATATTATATATAAATAAAATAAATATATATAAATAATTAATATGGGTTGTGTTGAGCCGTAACGGGCCGAGCCACGGGCGGCATAGCCGGCTCGGTCGTGTCAACCTGGCCTGCAGACCTAAAACCCTAGGCCCAACATGGCCCACACGTCGTGTCAGGCCAAGCACGACCCATGGACTGTCGTGTCAGGGCGGTCCAAATTCATGCTGGGTCGCGGGTGGCACAACCCAATTTACACCTCTATGAAGATCCCATGTTTGGACCTTGCCACTTCAATACCTAGAAAATACCTTAGCTCCCCAATGTCCTTAATCTCAAACTCTTGGTGTAAGTTCCACTTTAAGACATCAATCTCACTTAAGTCATTCCCTATGACTACAATGTCATCCACATATACTAGCACTGACACCAAATATCCCCTTCACAAACAAGATATGATCTGACTATGTTTGAGTGTATCCAAAACCAATAAATGCTCCCCTAAACCAATCAAACCAAGCTTTGGGTGACTATTCCAAACCATACAAGTATTTCTTTAATTTGCATACCTTTCCTTTACCTACATCAAAATAAAAAAAATAGCTAAAAGGCCCATGTACACCTCTTCTACAAATCTCCATTGGGAAAAGCATTCTTCACATTAAGTTCGAAGAGAGGCCAACAAGGATAGTTGCTAGAGACAAGAGAATACAAATTAAACTCATTTTGGCCACTGGTGCAAATGTCTCCAAGTAGTTTATCCCATAGGTCTAAGTATACCCTTTTGCAACCAACCTTGCCTTATACATTTCTATGCTTCCATCGGCCTTGTACTTCACAATATAGACCCATCTACAACCAACTGTCTCCTTATCATCAGGTAGATCCACAACTTCTCATGTTTGATTTTTAATCAAGGCTTCCATTTTCTCTTGCATAACTGCCTTCTACTCATGTTTGGATATAGCCTCACTTCCTGGGTATAGGGAGATAACCCACTATAGGAAAGATGATGTGAGATACAATGGGTTGTGCACTTTCTCTTCCCCTTTTGAAGTGCAATAGGAAGGTCTAGGACATCTGCAATAATATTAGGTAAAGGTGTAGTATCAACAAGAACTAAAACATCAATGGAAGAAAAAGGCATACCTGAGTCTGTGTCAATCGAACCTAGAATCTCATATGAGTCAATGGAAAGTGGTGTGGGTTCCTTTGCTGTGAAACCAACCCCTTTGTGCTGTTATAGGTGTTGACTCGTAAAAATCTGAGAAGTAAGATGTAATAGAGTGGGCAAAGTACAATTGGGTCAAACAATGGAGTAGGTAAAGGAGTTGGAATAAGAAGTGGTGTGGGTTGCTCATTTTCACCCCCAAAATACTCTCCCTAAGGACTACTTAAAAAGAAAAGTGTGGACTCAAAGAAAGTGACATCCATAGTGACATACCGATTTCCTGACACTGAATCATAACAATAGCCCTTCTGATTTCCTACATACACAATGAATATACACTTCTTTGCTTCAGGATCTAGTTTTGAGCATTGAAGACTAAGGATATGGACAAAGCATACACACCTAAACACCCTCAAAGAAACATGAAACATCTCCCCCTCAAGAAAAAGAAGGCTAAAAGGAACAATGTATCCAAGAACACAAGAGGCTAAAAGGAACAATGTATCCAAGAACACAAGAGGCTAAAAGGAACAATTTATCCTAATTAATTGCCAATGAGTTAATTGACTCTAGGGGAAGAGAGGGCATTCTCGGGGTTGTTTGTAAACTTGATATTGAGAAAGCATATGTCTGCATCAACTGGAACTGTTTGGATCAGGTGCTGGAATGCATGAACTTTGGACAAAATTGGAGAAACTGGGTCAGTGTTTGTACCAAGACCCCTAAATTTTCAATCCTAATTAATGGGCAATCTACGGGGTTCTTTGGCAGCTCTAGGGGACTGAGGCAGGGTGATCCTCTGTCCCCTTTGTTGTTCATTTGTGTTATGGAAATCCTTACATTTTTTAGTAAGAAGGCTGCAGACTCGGGCTTATGGATTTTCTATCTCCCCAGGAAAGGAGAAAGTTAACATCCTTCAGTTTGCAGATGACACTCTTTGTTTTGTGGATGCCTCTCTGCATCAGTTGGACACAGTGCTTGGAATTCTGAGCTGGTTTGAAGTGGTGTCGGGCCTCAAAGTCAACCTGAGTAAAAGTAAGATCATCCTAGTGGGCCATGTATCAAATTTGGATGGCTGTGCACAAGTGATGGCTTGTCATATTGAGTTCCTCCCGATAAAGTATTTGGAGCTGCCTCTTGGGGCCAAATTTTGTTCCTCCTCAATTTGGTGCCCAATCATTGAGAGAATGGAGAAGAAGCTGGCCTCTTGGAAGGCAAAATATTTATCTTTTGGTGCTAGGGTTATATTGATTAAGAGTACCCTTTCCAACCTCCCAACCTATTTTCTTTCTCTCTTTCCAATCCCAAACAAAATAGCATAGAGGTTGGAACAGCTCCAAAGGAACTTCTTATGGAGGGGTTGGGAAGATGAGAAGAAAATTCACATTGTCAATTGGGAGCAAGTCTGCCTTCCTAAGGATGTGGGTGGTTTGGGAATCAGGAAATTGAAAGAATTTAATTCTGCTCTTCGCAGTAGATGGCTATGGAGATTTGCTTCTGAGAGGAATGCATGGTAGAGTCTTATTGCGGCAAAAGTGTGGAGTGGTATGGGGTGATTGGGGAACTCTAGATCCTCTTCCATTTGGGGGTAATTCTCTTTGGGCAGGCATCTCTAAGTACAGCACTCTTTCTATGAATGGGATCAGTTTTAAGGTCGGTAAAGGGGATAGAATCAAGTTTTGGAAGGACCCCTGATGTGTGGAGGGTCCCTTGGCTGAAGCCTTTCCTCGTCTATTCCAAATTGCAGTGAATCAAGATTCTTCAGTTGCTGATAACATTTGCATCTCTGGGGATTCTATCACTTGGACTCCTCTCTATAGACGGAACTTGTTGAATTGGGAAGTGGATGAGTATGTGGATCTGTTGGGGCTTATTCAAAATTAGAGAATTGATTTGAGTGTGGAAGATGAATGATCTTGGAAGTGGAATGCAGATGGTAGCTTCTCAGTTAAATCCCTTTTTCTTAAGATGTGCAGTTCAGGTCGGGAGAACTTCCCTACTAGGCAGATTTGGAATCCAACTTGGCCCCCCAAGGTTAACTTCCTGGTTTGGACAATGGCTCTGCATAAATGTTTAACTAGGACTAACCTGGAGAGAAGGGATGTTCAGTTTCTTGACCCCTCTTGTGTTTTATGTGGAAATTGTGCAGAATCTACAAAGCATTTGTGTATCCACTGTCCGGTCTCCTCTTCAATCTGGGGACATTTTTTCAAGTTGGAGGTTTGTTGGTCTATGCCTAAGTCTGTGAAGGAGCTGCTAATGGGTTGGAGAATGGAGGGTCTTGGCAAAAAAGGAAATCTTGTTTGGAATACCATTCTGTATGTTGTTCTTTGGTCCACTTAGACTGAAAGAAATAACAGAATCTTCTGTGATCAATCTAAAAGCCCAGAAGAGGTAGTGCAGAAAGCGGTGGGTAAGATTTGTTCCTGGGTGTCAGTGAATGAGGAGTTTAAAAATCAGAATGTATCTCACTTATTTTGCCCTAAATCATGGATGTACTTGTAATCTGTTTTGTGCCCAGGTAGATCTTGTAGTCTGGGCCTTGTTGTAATCTTCTTTTATTCTGAATAAATTACTTTACCTTTTTCCAAAAAAAAAGGAAAAATGTATCCAAGAACACAAGAGACGAAAGAGAAGACGAGATGGGAGAAGCCAATAACTGATCTGGCTGCCCCACTCAATAGCTTATATACTTATTAAATAAAAGAGAATACAATGACCAATATGCCCTTAATAGGGAGGCTGCTGCTAATAACATAAAAATAAACATAAACTGTTGGGCTTTGGCCCCAATAACACTAAATAAAAAGAAACAAAAAAAAAAATTGTCGAATGACAACATCTCTGATATCATGAAAGTAACCTGTGATAAGCCAGAAATAGCAGCAACAATATAAACAAAGTAAGAGAAAGGATGCAAGAGAAACAAGAGAAGAGAAGAGAAAGAAGAAAGAAACAAATTAGAGAAGAGAAAACGAACCCTCCCCCAATCTGCCAAGTTGATTAAATAGCTTAAGATAAGGAATGGACTAAACTATCCTCCTTTAGTAAAATAAAGAAGACATAAATACCCCTGCTACCTATATTATAATAGATATACTAACACTCCTAACAGATTTCAAGGAATGCCTTAGTATGTACTTGCCAACAGAATCCTCCCTGAAAATGATTGATAAAAACACAACCAGGAAAAAAATTCAAGACAATGGTCAGATGCATGGGCTGCATGAAAGGGATTTGTATAGCCAATCCCAAATAGTTGGGATTAAGGCTGAGTTAAGTTGAGTTATACAAGCTTATAGTAGTGCTTAGAAGAAATTGAATATGAAACTCCAGTATAACAAGTAACAAAACTATTGCTTCGCAAAGAATAACGAATCAATACCCAATTCACTCTATTAAAACAGTAAAGGAAAACCAAGAATATAACACTGAACCTTTTCATCAAATCTGAAGAGACATTGATCAAAATAGGGAGACGGACTCTGTGACTGACAACTGAAGGGCAATGAGGTGAGCATCTTCTTCACAAACTGCAACAGACATTGGAAGAGTAATTACAAATATTCCAACACACACACACACACACACACAGATATATATATATATATATTATCTTCACGAAAATGTTTTTGTCATAGGTGTTTCTGTATTACAAGCAAAACCTCCATTTGATGTTTGTCATAAATCTTTAACTGGAATATTCAATTAGCAATAACAAAAAACACTTCTTGTAATATTGCCTGCTTGCATTATTGCATCTGGATGAGGAAATAAATAAATATATAACTCTATAATGGTTAAAACTACCTTCTTTTAATAAGAGGCCATGAATGCTATTGCTTTCCAATAACTTACCTGTGAAAAGCTACTAGACTTATTCTTGATGCCCCTAAGTTGCTCAAGAGCATGGATGTTATTGGAATGCGATGATATGAAGTTCATGTACAATAAATTTCTTGATGTTGCATGAAAGTGGTCACAAAACTGCTCAAACAAGAAATAAAGCTCATCTGCCGAATTCTGCAGAAAATATTACATAAATTTGAGAGAGGTTATAAGTCCCATTTGAAAAAAAAAAAATACCATCAAGATCAGTTGAAGACCAAAAGATACCTGATAAAATGCAATAACCTCAGTTGTCTCCATGTTATATACAGCAAAGAATGCAGGATGGTGATCAGTGTTTCGTGATACCTAATTTTGGCAGTATAAAATTATCATATTGCATTCTACCAATATTTTCTCATAAATGGTACAAAGCCCTTTCCAAATCATAAATTATAAAAATAAAAGAAACTCAAGCAGGAAGAACAAAGACGTAAACCAGTAAGCCTTACTCCTCCGTCTACACTACCGAACTTGATTAGCAGGTGATGCCGGTCTAAGAATTGTACCTGTCCAAGTTAGTTGTATAGTCAATTTATGTTGAACATAATCTTTGATGAGGATAAAGAGAATACATATATATGGGCATCATGAAATCTAAAACAAGGTAATCCTGCATGAAAAGAAGAGTTCAATGCAGTGAGCAGAAGAGCAATATGTGTGGTAACTCAAATCTGAATCCTACCTTCGACATGCTCAGGTCAACATAATCTTGAAAATGGAAATAGAACTTCTTCTTTAGACATTGAACCCTCTGGTGAAACAAGAATGCAGGGTAGCCATTCAATTTCATGAATCTTGAATCAGAGCATAGAGGTCAAATATATAATTAGAAGATAACAGAATAATAGTTAATAACAAAATATAGAACATGTTATGTCAAATTGATCATATGGTACCACCTCATATCAAACAAATAATAGAAGCAGTCAGCATAGCTCCCCCTCCCCAAAAAAAAARAACAGAAAAAAAGGGAAATACTGAAGATATATATGGAAAATATGAAATTCAGCAACTGGACCATAATACCATATAGAACATCTTAAACACAGCAGTTCATATTAAAAGAAGTTGTGTCATTGCATTGAGATGCAAATCAGCTTCTTGTGGTTTGGAGATGGAGAACAAAAAACAGAAAAATCACACACACACACATAACAAGTACATAAACTTCTGTTCTTCTCAATAGCTAGTTAGCTACTTTTCTTCTTTTGAAATCAATGTTGGAGAAACACATGATTCCTTCTCTCTTTGTTACTTTCAAGTAGTTCTCTTCTACTAGAAGAAAACCAGCAACTATTCTCTGGATTTCCCCCTAGATCCAGAGCATTCTTTGTTGGATGTTGAAGCAAGACTATACCCATTGACCTCCCATAGACCACCTCTACATTACATTATCTCAAAATCAGCCAAGGGATGCCCAATAAAATATTTTAAATGCCATCTTTACCCACCCTCCATAAGCACCAGCAGACTTCAAATGGAGCTATTCCAAAGAATAATGCTATGTTGCCTGAACCCCCCTAACTGGCCAAGCACCTAACAAGCCAGCCAGATAACCTAAGACAACTCACTCTCTTCCAAATAGCTTGAGAAATTTGCTCCAAACAATGTTTTAAAACGTGGAGGCGTGACGCGAGGCATTCCACTTCCTAGAGGTGTGAGGTGTAGTTCAGAACGTAAGAGGCGTAAGCCTACTTAAGAGGAGGGGGGATGAGGAGGAAGGAGGATCTCATTTTTCTTTATTTTTAATAAAAATCTTTTATATTAAGAAGAACGAAGATGCATATCACTAGGGCGCATGAGGCGTACACCTCTAGCACGCCTCGTGAAAAAAGCATATGAGGCGTATGCCTCTTGCACCTGAGGCGTATGCCTCAGAGGTGTCAGCACCTCTGGCATACGCCTCAGGGCATTTTGGGGGCGCCTCGCCTGGAGGCACACCTCCAGGCATACGCCTCCCACGCCTTTTAAAACACTGATTCCAAATCAGCAAGCAATCTTTGAGGGGTTTATACCCCCACCAAAGATCTCCCTAGAACTTGACTCTGTTACCACAAGATGCATCAAATGTAATATATTTAAGGAAAACAGGAGGCAAAACTGAAATCCAAAGAGAGACAAGAGTAGCTCAACTATCCACCCCAACATCCCAACCCTTACTAAGCCACCTTTCTCCCTTATCCTGCAAACTAAATGTCTAAACCCCAATTGCAAGATGGCTCTTCCTAGCTCCCATGAGAAATTTCTCATCAATTTTTCTAACCTTCTAGAAATCAAGGCAGGAAACTTAAAAATTGACATATATTGCACTGGTTGGCTAAGGTAGAATTAATAAGCATAATTCTCCCACCTATAGAAAGATAACTCCTTTTCCAAGCAACCAATTTCTTAGACAATCTATCATTGAATGCTGAAAGGCACTAGCCCTTAAATTACCACCCAAGGGAAGACCAAGGTATCTAATTGGCCATTCAGATATGAGCATCTCAATACCAAAGCAATTCTTCACAACTCATTCCCATCCATACTAATCCCAGCTATGCAACTGTTTCCCAACTTCACTCTTTGATTTGACATCCTTTCAAACCAATGAATTAGTAATTTTAGGTTCCTAACGTCTCTTCTCTTTTCTTTATCATAGTCCACTGTGCATTTTAGTCTTTCCAAATCATTTACCTTCTTTTTGCTCTTTGTACCTACATCTCCACTTTTACTTTTGTAAACTTTTAGGTGAAGTGAAGGAGTGCCAAGTAGTCCTAAGGTTTTTGCAAATTTAGTTATTGGATCAACCCCTCTCTGCCAAGACAAATTGGCAACCTCTATCTCTCCCTCTCCCTCCCCCCCCCCCCCAGCTTCCCCTTCTCTCTCTAAGGAAATTAGCAAAAATACAAACATTCTAGAAAGTGACCTTTTGATTTCCAAGTCGTTCAATCACTGGTAGATACTGGTGAATCTTTAGCCTAATCAGAAGCCCCAAATAAGTGCAAGGGAAATTACCTACTTGGTTAGTCTTCCCCTCCCCCTCCCCCTCTCTCTCTCTCTAAGCAAATTAGTAAAAATACAATCATTCTAGAGAGTGAACTTTTGATTTCCAAGTCATTCAATCACTGGTAGATACTGGCAAATTTTTAACCTAAAGTCTTCAAACAAGGTTGCCCCATCAATGTATTCAGAAAATTAATAGTATCATCAGCATATTGGTGATAAGAAATAATAGGACCATAATTCATCAAAAAAGAGAAATAATAGGACCATATTATGCTCCCGATTCATCAGATCAATGTCATAGTTCTTTAATGRTGTTAGCATGTGTGGACTCACCGATCCCAAGAGACAAGATATACAAATTTATCATAGCAAAATGTATCAAGGGAAGCCAAAGCTCCAAAAACAAGGATGACATGAATCTCAAATCAAATTTCATAGCATACCTAATCCAGCATCTGTTATTTACGATCAATAAAGCCCCAGATTATTTGAAGCTGCATAGATGATACTCAACCATGCATGTGAAAGAAAGCAACTCTTTTCTTTTACATGTGCCAGTATATCAAATATAATCAAATGGCATGCTTGAGATCATCTGGGTTGTTATTATTTCATGATATCTATTTAAAGGCTCAGATTCAAATAAACTGGATATAGATATCAATAACTAACCATGGTATGATCCGTTTCTTCATTCCATATTCCACGGAAGATAAATGAGAGTAACCGCTGCTTGATACCACTCAAGAACGGTGTTCCTGGCATATTCTGGTGAGATTGTAGACCATTTTCAACTTGATTTGCAGATAAATCATGCTGTTTACTTTTATCCACAAACACCATGCACTGCAAGATAACAGTTAAAAACTGTCACCAGAGAAGATTAAAGGCTAGTATACCATAAATGCTCTTACCAACCAAACTGAAAATTGGAATAATAAACTCGCACCACGAAGATTATTTATTCATTTTTTTTTTCATTTTAGGCTGAAAATGAGAAAATGAACTGGTGAGAAATAAAACATTGTMACACAGAAGGAATAATGATACATGTATGCCTTGTCCAATATGATGCTGTTCCGATCATCCACCTAATTACTATCAATATATCTTCTTCAACCTTTGTTCTCATAGGCCAAGCATGTATGGCATTACCATGTCTACAACCAGTCGTTGCAATTATAAATAAAGAGAAAATGTGAGCATGGCCCCAACTATCTCACCAGTCACCCCACTATGAAATTTTACATTTTACATTTCAGCCCAAAATAATTGCTGTCTATTATTAGCCCCTTGTTTAGACAAACTATTAGCCCAAATTATTACGCATCAGATTCCAAGCTGCATGTCCCTTGAGAGCCATTTGAACCATCCAAGGGTCCATTTGGTTCGCAGACAGGACTAGAATCAGAATTATAACCAGAATCCCCAAGAATTGAAATCGGAATCACCTAATCCTGACGCCTATTTGGTTCAGTCGGGAATTGGAATCGAATCCAAGTGTTGTTGTTTGGTTCATTTGAAGTTGGAATTGGATCAACTGAAAATTATTAATTTTGTCTTAGTCTATTTATTATTTTATTATTACTTTATTAATACTTTATGAATATATGGTTGTTATTTTATTAGTACTTAATAATTAATATCTTAGTATTAATCATTAATTTATGAATACTTTATTAATATATTATTATTTTATTATATTTTGTTATTATTATTTTAGAATTAGTGTATTATTATTTCATAGTTAATATGTTAGTATTTTATTATTACTTCAATTATATGATATTAATATTTTATTTGTATTTAATTATTATTTAATAAATAATATATTTGCTTTTTATTAAATAATATACAGTGATTCAAAAGGCATGCCTAGGCGCACAGGTGAGGCACATTTTAGGGTATGCACCTCACCTAGGTCATAGGCGCAACACTTTCAAAAGGCGCACACCTGGTGCACCTGATGCGCCTAGTGAAGCCCAGGCGTGCTCCTTTTTAAATGTCTACGCTTTTTTGTTTTTTTTTTTTTTGAACCTAGCTGCTAGGCCGAGGGCTCCGCCCCTAGACCCCCAACCAAGCCCTCAAGGCATGCCCAAACAAGTCCATGTTAGGGTCTTACATTCTTAATTATCACACAAAAATAAGGATTTTATAATTTTAATTGCCTTTTAAGAAGACATTTTATTAGGATGAATGAATGAACAACATTAACAAATAGTCGCTTGCTCACTGAAGCTCCGCGAACCCCCCCTATTTGCTAATGTTGTTCATCCATTCATCCTAATAAAATATCTTCTTAAAAGGTAATTAAAATTATAAAATCCTTATTTTTATGTGAGAATTAAGAATTTAAGATCCTAGCATGGACTTGTTTGGGCTTGCCTCGAGAGGCTTGGTACAAAGGTTGCTCATAGAATCAGGAATGCAATATGTTTTACATCACATTAGCTACTTGAAGTAATAAAATTGAGAAAAAAAAAAAAAAAGACATTGTGGGCTTTACATGCTTGAAAATGTTTTATATGTTTGATTTTATTTTTAAAATTTCATTTGAATATGCTTTACATGTTATGTTTATGTATTTTAGTTTTAGATTATGCATTTTTTAGAACATTTATTTTAAAACTTATGTTTATATTTTTTATTAATATTATGTTTAATATTTTTTTATTTTTTTGGCATTTTTTGAATTTTTGCAACTTGCTTCAAAAAGGCGTCACCTCGCCTTGCGCCTCGAGTGTAAATTGCCCCTTGCATTTTCTTTGGTTTTTGTGTGCCTTGCGCTTTTAAAGCACTAATAATATACAAAAATATGTTTAAAATTGAAACTTGAAAAAAAAACTAAAATAGTAAAAGGAGTATTGTTTAAAGTAACGATACAAAAAGGTGTATCGACACTTTGAACCATCCTTACGGCACCTTGTAGTGTTCCTCCAACTCTTGAAACAACTTTCTCATAAAGGAGTCACCTCCCAACACAAACAAACCCAAGTTTGAATTTTTGCGCCTTGCTTCAAAAAGGCGCCACCTTGCCTTGCGCTTCGAGTGTAAATTGCCCCTTGCATTTTTTTTTTTTTTGTGCGCCTTGCGCTTTTAAAACACATAATATATATAAAAATATGTTTAAAACTGAAATTTGAAAAAAAAAAAACTAAAATAGTAAAAGGAGTATTGTTTAAAGTACCGATACAAAAAGGTGTATCGATACTTTGAACCATCCTTAAGGCATCTTGTAGTGTTCCTCCAACTCTTGAAACAACTTTCTCATAAAGGAGTCACCTCCCAACACAAACAAATCCAAGGCTTTACCTACATCCGCTGCTGTATCAACCACTTTGTTCAAGTCAATGGTCCTATCAATTCAATGGGTTTCATCAACTTAAGCTTCCTCCCAATTGACTCACTTAAACTCTTAGCTTCATCAGAAGATCCATCATCATCCTGGATTTTTCCTTCTTCTATTAAATGTCTTGTTCGATAAGCTTTCCTCCTTATATAAACCTTGGAACAGCTGTCAGCCGGCACTTTCCCTTTATTTCCTCTCCTTTATTTATCTCCACCTTCTACAGATTCAGGAACAATCGTAATAAGGTGGAGCTCTCTTCTGACCTTTCCTTTGTCCTTTACAAGCTTGAAAAGTTTTCCAGGATTGTCCTAGAAATCTGAGAATTGTTCGGCTGCTCTTCAATTTCTAGGTTCCTACTTTATCCAACTACAAATTTCTCCCCCTTTTTCTACATTCACTACTCTAGGTTCACTAGTTTATCCAGCCATTGTGAGAAGCAACTCGAATTGTACTCAATGGCCATGGAAAAGAGATTTGCAATAGTTGGGTCAAAATCCTTTGAAATCGAACGAAGAAGTCTCAACCGAGAAGACGAACTTGCAATAATAGAAAGAGGCGAGGGAGTTTGGACACGAATAGCTCTATCTCAAGAGGACATTGTTTGGACCAAAACTTTCATCCAGGAGGCGTTGGAAAATAGGTGAAGGCACTTAGCAAATCGTGAGAGTTAACAAAGGAAGAATCCTTTGCCTACAGTTTAATAAATGGGGGGGGGGGGGGGTGGATTCATTCATCTTAGCATAGTTTTCAAGGCACCAAGGGGAGGCTAGGCAACAGAGGGCGCCTTGCCACCTAGTCCTAGGTGATGAATTTTTAAGCAAAAAATACATATCCTAGGGTAGTTACCTAGGTTCCATAACCATCTTTCCTTAATAATTATCCATAATTTTCATAAGAAAATTATAAACTTCATATTTAAGTCTAGAAAATCAACATAGCTTTGAGAAGAAAAAGAAGAAGAAAAGAAAATTTAAAAAAAAATATGGGGACTGAACCCCTATTTCTGTTATAGGAAAAGAAGAAGAAGATGAGGATGATGAGGATGACGATGTTGAGGAAGAAATGTGTTGATTAGACAAAACTTTACATTTTTCCCTTACTTATTGGTTTAGATTCTGAAGTCTTTGAGGGTTCAATACAGCAGTTAGCAACGTTTGTGTTGATTAAACCCTGACAAATAAGAAAATAATAAAAAGAAATTAGTTTATAAACATAAAAAATGAATATTTTGTTTAATAATGTCTATTTATAATTATAATCTCAAAAAAGTAACAATATAAAAGTATTTTATAAGGCAGTATACAAAATTGCTTGGCGACTGGGCGAGGCGAACCTCCAAGGGCGTCTTGTCGCCTAGGCACCTGCCTAGGCGTCGCCTTGACAACTATGCATCTTAGTAGATGGGAAAAATCAGACAAGGCAAGGAATATCTATATCCCAGAAGAGCCAGCCACCAGGGGTTGGAAATCTTTCATCCAGTTATTGGACTGCTTTTGTCCATCCAAAGTGAACCCCCATCCTGAAAATCTCTTGTCGAACCTCTTCCCCTCGCTCGAAACCAAAAGCAGGATAATCAAGACAGGGGGTTCTGCATTTCTGTCTATTGTCCATCAAGGCAAACCTTCCAGAAACTGGAAACTGGCTTTTGTGTGTTCAAAGCCTCCCCGTCCTGAAAATCTTTCATCCAGTTATTGGACTGCTTTTGTCCATCCAAAGCGAACCCCCGTCCTGAAAATCTCTTGTCGAACCTCTTCCCTTCGCTCGAAGCCAAAAGCAGGATAATCAAGGCAGGGGGTTCTGCATTTCTATCTATTGTCCATCAAGACAAACCTTCCAGAAACTGGAAACTGGCTTTTGTGTGTTCAAAGCCTCCCTCGTTGAACTGGGAAGAAGTCGAGTTAGGGTTGTCTACAAACCTACACTCAAAAACCTGCTAAAACTGCTCCCCTTTGAAAGAAACAGAGCAATGGGTTTTGCCCCCACAGAAGACTTGGTGTTAAACCAGACCAAGCTAAAATCAATCTTTGTCTTTGGTAAATGGGTTCGAATAGAAGGCTGGAAGCCAAAGATAAACACAGTCCCAAAACAGTTGAGTTTTAAAGGCTAGTTAAAGCTACAAGACTTACCCTTCCACCTCTGGACAAAGGAAACCTTTTCCCTAATCGGAGATCTTTGCGGAGGTCAAAAAACCATGGCATTCATGCTATCCCTCAATTGATTCCCATTCTTGACAGAGAGGTTTGGTTCTACCTCTCAGTGGAGGTGGAGAAGACGAACGAGTCACCTCCCTCTCCCACCGAGCTGACTTGCTCTAACAGCGCATATCCACGTGGCAAATCTCCCTTACCAGCTCTGAAATCTGATCGAACAAGAGGTTTGTGTAGTGTTGAAGAAAAGCCTATGGCAGGATTCTGAGCAGCAGCACAGAAGCTTTATTTCTCCATTAAGACTAAAGCACTCAAAGATTCTAAAAGAAGGAAGCTAGACAGTCTCGATC